GCCTGCAGGCCAGATGTGGCCCATCAGGCCATTCTATCCAGCCCGCAGGGCCCTCAAAAAATTTAGAAAATTAATAATTATCTGCCCCAGCTGCCTGTCATGCAGCCCTTGATGGCTTGCCAAACCTCAGTAAACAGCTCTCTGCCCGAAATAACTGCCCACCTCTGCTTTAGACCCATCCTCTTTGACTGCCAAATACCACCAAGATAGCATCTGCTTATGCCTTTTTCCAAGGACTCCTTTCCTTGGAGTTGTAGAAACGAGTTTCTATACTTCCACTATCCTCCCCACCCAACTTCCTACTGGGGACTAGCAGTGGTTAGCCTGTTAGCAGGGAAAGAAATTCCCCAAACACCATCTCTTACCCATTTTGGCTCAAAGGTATAGGTTATATGATCTATTCCACAGCTACTGAAGAAACAGAAGTGCAATATTAATAGTACCTGACACACACCAGTCAAAGCCCAGCACAATATGAGCTGGTAAGTGAAGAGAGAGCCTTACACTCACCAGCAGTTTTATAAAAGGCTGCCTGGTTTTCATGCAACCCTCTTGGAACTCAGAAATAACTGAACTTCTAGGAGATTGAATGCTTAGGCTGAGCCTTCCTTGCCTTCTAGGATGGGTAACCAGGCTTTGCAGAAATAAATAAATAAGAGTTATTTTTTTTCATAGGAGATGACATCCAAGGGCGTGCGTAGATGAAACAGGGGCCCTAAATTGAAGCGGCGGGTTTTAAAAAACACCACTTCAGTTTAGGGCTGATTAAACCCCCCATGTCGTGTACACCCCCCGCTGACGTACCTGCCTCTCCGGTGGGGAGGGGAGGGCGAATTGTCAGCAGATGGAGCAATTCCTGGGCTGGGGGGAGGAGATCAGGCTTGCTGCTTTCCTGGGCTGCTGCCAGGCTGCCTGCATGGGCTTCCTGCAGAGCCATGGAGCTGCATCTAGCCCAGTGCTTCGCTCCATGGCTGTAGGGGCAGCTGCGCCGCAAGTCAGTTAAGGCGCATTATGCCATCGAATTTCCTACAGTGGCTGGAATTAATACGCAATACACTGCTGACGTGTGCGAACACCAACACCATTAAAGCAGTGCAAAAGCATTTAGCCCTCTTTAAAGTGTCATGCACACACACCTCTTGTTTTGTCTACACATGGCCCAAAGCACCAGGACTGGCTGCAAAATTGCTTTCTTTGCCCAATTTCTGCAAAGTATGCAACTTAATCAGCTTGTTCCTATATTCATAGTCAGTATCTTTACGCTAGATCAGCTACAGGTGAAATATAATGTGCCTGGTTAGTTTCTTGTCTCTCAGAAGTTGCAGTCACTACCTCTTCCCTAGCAGCAGGTTCACTGTCTAATTAGCTACTTCAATTTTCCAAACAAATTTCATGGCTGCTTCTTTTTGCTGATGTGTAAGAAACCGACTCGTCTCATTCTGCTTGGAGAACTGCTGGCACATGCAGACAAGTGAGCAAAGGACATGATGCTTCCTTGCTAGCTCTTCAGAGGTGCATTCTTTCAAAAGAACTTGAAAAAGTCAAGGTCCTTTACCAAGTATCACTTAGATCCTACAGCGACAGGCCCCTTAGAAATTCCATAGCTTGGTCATCTTGAGATATTTTATATCCCAGTGTCCTTCTGTTAGAGTGAAGTTCCAAAATGGAAATGATGTGAAAAGTCCACAGGGTCAAACAACTGTCCAGGGGTGCAGAAGAAAATACATAGTGTGGAGTTGGGGACAGGAAACATGGAGTTCCCCAAGACCAGTGCAGTCCCCCTTTGTACAGTGCTTCACAACAGCAAGTCCCCTCTCCTCAATCTGCTCCATGGCACAAGAGCAGGGAATGCAATGGAGGGGAAGACTGCCTTTTCCTGCACTGTTTTGTTTCCCAAGTTGTGACCTTGCCCCCAGTAACTAGGTCTGGCGAGGGCAGATGGCCAGGCCGGCTCTTAGCCAATCAGGCTGCCCCCAGATACTTGCAAGCATCATCCTCTGTAATTACCTGGCCCTGGGTATTTCCCCTCTGCTCTTCCTGTTACCTCAGCCTAACAAATGCTTAAAGGCAGTTGGGCCTTGGTGTTTAAAATACAGTTTGACAATTTTTTTCTGATTTTCTATACAGCTTTCAGAGGGTACACTATGGACACCTTAGAGAAATGAGGGCTCATCCTTGTGAATCGCTCTGATGAGCTCAGAGTAAGCCCTCCTGTGACATTTCCTATTACCCTCCCTCCTGCAGAAAATGTCCCAAGTCCATGGAGCAGACAAAGAACTTCCCACCTCTCCGACACCTGTCACTGATCCCCTCAAAGAGCTCCAACTCTGCCCACACCAGGCAGGTTCCCTCTTGTTTTCTTGCCATGACCAAATGCAACTCCACTTTTTGGCTGCCTCCCTTCAGATATGTACTTCCAGTGGGATCCCAGCCCTGTTATTTCCTTGACCAATACTGAAGTTGGAAGCTTGCAACAAAGAGATGACTAATGCTACAACTAGCACCAAAGGCATCAGCCAGGCAGGGACCGGACTGGATTGGAACTCATCTGACACAAAATCCAATCCATGTCCCCACCACTCCCACTGACCTCTCACACTAGCGCTCCCAAGAGATGCAGAGGGACAGCCAGTTCCCTCCAGGATCCACGTGGGAACTAAGCTGTTCTGCTGGGCTGATTATTTTTGTAATAACCTCTTAGCTTAGAAGTTTAAAAAACGAATTTGCTGTCCCTTTGTGACAGGAGTTTTTTCCACAGTAAACACAGTTCTTTTTTTCCTGTTTTATATTTTCTGCAGCTGAACCACAACTAAAATGGTGCATCTGCTTTGTCCTGAAGGTTCTTGTGGAAAGGGGCACTTTTGTCACGTATATAAATCCGTTAACTGTATTAAATGATTTTTAATTATTGCCTAATCTGCTTGTATCAGCAACAATCCCACTGGAAAATACTTGTTGAACAAGCAGTCTTGGCTATCAATAAGAGGCTATTAAACTAGCATGAAAGCAGCCTGGGAAAAGAAGCCAAACCAGTTTTAGGAAAATGAAGAAGAGCTGCATGAAAAATATGTTCACCAATAATTTAAACCCTCTCTCAAGTTCCTTAAGCCTCTTGCCTTTCCAGCTGCCCTGTAGCTCCTCCCATCCCTGCCCCGCTCTGCTTTGTAGTTGTCCATAATGAACTTGCTTCCAGGATCCCGTGGCCTCGTCCACCACCTGTTCTTTGGGATCAGAAAGGATTTTTCCAATTGGGCCAAACTGGCTACTCTCCTTTGGTTTTTTGCCTTCCCTGTAGCAACGCGGAGGCACAACTGTGGTTAGGCAGGCTAAGATTTAGAAACTCAATATTAAAAAAAATACAGGAATATGTAGGGATGAATCAGTTCAGAGAATATGGCATATTGCTTCCCAGAAATAGTCGGTGGCGGTATCAGGGTGAGATTACACGTCAGAGTTAGCAGGTGCTGGTTCCAAGAATGTTAGTATGTGTTAAGCTTACCAAGTGCAAGTGACCAGTCACATGTTTGGTGCTATTACCCTCTCCAATGTGCACTGTTCACACCTGCTGTTAGAGGGCTGTTGAGCAGGGGCATGGCAGGGACTGCAAATCTACCCTGCCCATCAGCTCTCTAGCAAGAGCATAGGCTGGGGAGGAGGTGGGGAATGGCCCTTCTGTGGTGTTTAAGTTGTGCTCTCTGCTCCCAATCAACCCCTGGATCCCCCTACATTTCCCCAACCCGCTCCTCCACCCCTGGATCGCCCTCCCACACCCAATCGCTGCCCTGCCCAGACTGAGAACAATAAAGGCAGTGGCAGTGGGTTCCCCTTCTCTGCCTGTTCCTGGGCTCCTTGCAGCCTGCAATACCCCTGTGCACCCAGGTCCAGCCCCCACTGGGCCCAGCAGCTGTCTGGCAGGTCCTTGTCCCCCTTCATCTAGCCCCCCTGGTGGGGGCTGGATCTGGACATGCAGGGGCAGCATGGTCTGCAGGGACCCCAGGAGCAGGCAGGGAGGGGGAATCCCCCCCACCAGCTCTTGAGCTAGTCAGGGCAGCATGGCAGTGATCTGGGGGTAGAGGGGCTGATGGAAGGCAAAGAGCACAATTGGGGTGGCAGGGGAACAATCTAGGGGGCAGGTGGACAGTCTGGGGGGCAGAGGGAGCAGCAGCCCAGCAGCTCCCCGCTCACCTGCTCCTCTCTTCCACTCCTGTCCCCCCTCACCCCTTTCCCATGCTCCCCTAAGCCCCTTCATCCCTTTTCCCTCCATTCCATTACTATCTCATCATCTCAGCTTCAGACCATTCTTCTCTGTTCCTACTGATCCCTCACCCATACAGCCCCACTCTGCCATCACATTTTATGTCCCCTGACCCTCCCCATCCCTATTGTCTTCTCTCAGACCTCTTGGCTCCTGCACTGTGCTCCTATGCAATTCCTTTGGCTTCTATAACCCATTCTCTGACTCATATTCATCCCCCTACTCCTGTATGGCTCCACCACCTCCCAAATCCTGGTTCTGCACTGCCTATGGTTTATGCAATTCATTCTTTAAAAAAATGCTTATATCCCTTGTGCTGGTATATGATGCACTCTGAGCACATCAAATGTTTCTTTCATTATATTCTTAACACACACACACACACACACACACACACAAGAATGTTAGTATGTGTTATGTGTCTAAATTTTCTCTAAGTATGGCTAGGAAAAAAGAAATCAATGGGTCAAATTCTTGCCTGGTATACCTCCATGGAAGTCAGTGAAGAGATACTGGAGATGAATTTGGTCCTACAAGTCTTACAAGAGAAATAGCTGAGTATTCATAAGTCATATACTAAACATACAAAGGAGTTTAGTGCAGATGCAGAGTTCAGCAGCACAAGCATATGAAGTTGAAACAGACAAAACAGGAAGAAGCCAAAAGCAATAAAACCTTATTATAATGTAGACAGGTTTGACAAAGGCCAGACAGATTTATCAAAAAAAAAAACGACCAGCCTTACCAGTAATAGTTATGTGACCATCTTTGGGGGCACTTTGGATTTCCTTTAACTCAATCTCTGGGCTCACGTCCACCTTACTTCCAGATAGCTGTAAATAAGCTTTAAAAGAGGCAGGCACCTTGACTGTAATAGAGCCTGTTATAAATTAAGTGAAAGACATTTATGTTACTACTGTCCAAATCAAAGCAGGCAAAACACACACTAGTAACTCAGCTAACAAAGAAGCCTCACTATTTGACTCTCTTCAGTTGACTTGGGGGAAACGGCATATTTTTATCTTAGGCTCTCCAGCCATTCTGGTTTCTTTCCCAGCCCAGAGGATAAATAGCACTCTTTTGTGGACAGAGATGCGCTCATTTATCACAACAGAAGACTATTAGCAACAGTCAGTACAAATAGCTATCTTCCCCTTATAGCATAGGGCCAGCTCTCCCTTTTCCCTGAGATATGGCAGCCTCACACCTGACTGTCTATTCTAGAGTTGCTGTCACTGCACTTTATAAATGGGTTGTTAGCAAAATCAAAGCAGCTTCAGTGACCTGCCCCATCTCTGAGATTGTAAATTGAAATTCTGGCCTCTGCTTTCATTAAACGTGGGCTTCTTTACATCTCAGGCCAACAACTGGGGCATCTAGTTGCCAGGCTGGGGCACATCTGGAATGGTTTAATCGATGATGCTCAGTCTCTGCGCTCATACGTTACAGCAAACAACTCCAAAACCTGAATTCACTCTCTGGATAAAGCTTTCTTATGCTTAGCCTCATTCCTCTTGGCAAAAACTTTCTTCTCTGTGGGTATGTTAAAAAGGCTCCTCCCACAACTAAATCAGCACATGGAAATTAAATGATACTATCCGTGAAAGAAAATGCACGCAAAACAGATACGCAGGACCTGACCTTTCTTCCTCAGGAGGCAGTGCAAAACAGCCAGAAAGCTGAGGATTCCTCTGGCATATGGCATGCCTAGTGTGGCAAAAAGCCAACAGACAGTTCCATGTCACCTATTCTTGGCCCTCCTTAGGGAATTGTAACTACCAATATAATTTAGGCTGCCTTAATATAACTTGGGTGCAGACCAACTCCAGGAATAGAGAGGTGGCTGTGAGCCACTTTTTTTTTCTAACGTCAGGTCCTGCCTAAAGACCAGCTTGGCCAGACACAGTGATCCACTTGCTTATTTTGACATACCAGGCCAGAGATGACTGCACTGCTGTCAGTACTTATCCTGGGTTTAAACTAGTGTAAAAGAGTACAGTTTGGCTTGCTCCATCTTTGTCTTCAGTAAGAAATGTTAATGGAACAGATGCCAAGCTCTGCTTTAAAACTCACTTTCATACATTCTCTTTCACTGTTCTTTATGAAACAGTTTCCCTCCCTCACTGGTTAAACATCAATCGGAGTTATCGTAATTCCACAACTGGCTTGATGGTATTGTGAAAATACATTTCTTTCCACCACAAAAGCTGGAGTAGCTTGTACATTAGAGAGCACATGGGAAAGAATTCAATACAGTTCTTTCATTACATTCACTCTTGCTGAACACTACAATCTTCATTTCAGAGCTACCCATGGAAGGTTAGACAATAAAACAGTGACCACCTATAAACACCTAGAGAGTGCAAAGGAATGTCAGAAGTAAGAGTGAAGAGGAAATGTTTTATAATGGCTTCTGCATATTACTCTCTTAACAACACAAAATTCTTGCAGGGCTTGAGTGTCTTTACATAATAAGACCTCTAGTCCTGTGTTTTTTCAATGCAAAAGGAAATAAATCCAGCTATTCAAGAGTTATGTTCCAGCAAGTACTGTTGTACTGAGCACGTAATTAGGAGGAGGGAAAGGATGGAAAATTGGTTTATTCAAAAATATACCAGAGATTGGACACATCTCACCTTTCTGGGTCTACCTTCCTTTCTTTTGCTGCTTTACTAATTTTAATGTAAGGGTCTCCATACACAATAATTCTTTCCTTGGATAGGGAGAAACAAACCTGTGACCCTTGCCAGGTCTGCATGTGTGCCAATGCTATGGACTGAGCCAGAATGACAAAGCAAGAGAGGACTAAAATCCTCATCAGCTCTACAAAATATCTGATGGGGAAGATTGTGGGACAAATCTTATTGGGAGAGGGGCTAGATTATGCCTTGGGTCCCCTTGGTTTGGCTGACTAAGGGAGACCGCTATTTGTGCTTCAGACTGAGGGAAGCACTCCAAATTCTTGCAGTGGGTCAAGCACTCTCAAGGGCTAACAGGCTTGTGTTTCTCAGAGGGCACAGGTCCAGGATCAGTTCAGACTCGGTGGTGGCAGCATTACCCCCAGGCTAGCGGGTGTGCTCCAGGAAGGGTGTCAGCCAGATGTGTCCCAGGGAGGCACTCGGAGCCTGGAAGGTGGTTGGGCGCAGGGAGGTGGGTGGCTCAGCGCAGAAGCACTCCCTACCGGCCCACCACAACATGCCCCAGAATAAGATGCACATCTTGGTTTGGAAAGGCAGAAGGAAGATCTTTCCTTGCAGTAAGTAAGTGAATAGTAGCAGCTAGGAAGCCAAGCCGGCTCACTGTATTGCTTCCCGTGGATCCCATGCAGACTTTACTTTGGTTTGGTAAGAATCAGAAACTGATCTTACCATATTTCCTCACACGTAATGCAAAATCCAATTTCCAAGAGCTGTTTTTTTGGGAAAAGGTGTGTTGTACATGAGAAAATATATCACACACATGCGCGCACACTGTACACACACACACACGTGTGTATAAATTAGTAGTTTTACTGTTTCCAGACCAATATATAGCATTTTTTAACCTCAGAGATTGCCAAAGAAATGTTCTAACCTTTTTGGGATTTCAGATCTATGTTTTTTCCTTGACTGACATAAACATCTATCATCCCCTGATGTGTAGAAGCTTTTAGACATCCATCCGCTGAATCTGAAAAAGATTCAGAATGAGAAGATTAAACTCTGATCTGTGTTTGTTCTTCTGAAGCAATAGTATTAATATGACTTCTCTTCTAGAATTAACAGGTTTTATGCAGGGCCCCTTCTCTTTAGTCCGGAACAGCTGCCATGGCCCACTCAAGTAAACATTGCTTGAGTCTTGCCCACATTTTCAACATAGGCTTTTGCATGGGAGAGAATTTTACTCAGAGAAAGCCACTACAAGCATGCAGCAAGGGTCGAATGCTGCATGCCATACCTCTCCTCAAGTGCAGTAAGGCTGTGATGGTTTTGCTGATTTTTAGATTTTGCAATATCCTGGGTAAGGACCAGATATTAAATCTGAATCTTACATTTGAGGAATAGTTAGGGAGATAATTACTGAATTTATTTATAGCAAATGGCACTTACTTATAGTAAATAGCACAATTTTATTATTAACTGCTTATACTGGAAGTAGTCTTTGTTTTCTTCCATATTTATTAGCTTTCATCTATGATCATGTCTAAGGAAACAGCTACTTACACAGACAGTTTAGACAAACAAACAAACAAACAAAGAACCAGCCAGATATGGAAATATTTTCCAGTCATCTCCATTTCATATCACTGTATTTGCAACCCATTTGGAATTTTAAAAAAACAAACAAGTTTCAACAATATTACAACAAAGACCCAAAGAAACAACTTTTAATGAAATAAACTGTATTTTTTGCTGTATATAAGAAACATAAATCCCACTCTTGGTCTAAGAAATGTGTAGCAATGTGTAGCAATCCAGAGACTTGTACAAGTCTGAAACAAGGATCTACAGTCCTTGAGAATGATCAATAGGAAATGGTTGAAATGACAGTATTTCTCCACTGTAAACTTTTGTTTATCCAAAATTTTACTGGCAATGGCAAACATTGCAAAAGATTGGCAGAGACCATTCAGTTTTTCTGATGGGGGCGTGTGTGTGTTCGTGTAAAAAAAAATGTATTGTGACAGAATATTTCAAGAACTGTCTAAAAAATCACAAGAATTAATCCAAATGAAGCTGATTACAGATGACTTGGTAATTTGACAAGGCCAAGGTATTTGGAAGAGGACATAATTATTAGTGAGGGAGAAAGTGAGGATCCTAGCAGACACTAAGGGCTCCTATAGATGTGCTGGGAGCCTGCTTTGGAGCATGGGAATTGACGCGCTCTGGCAGCCTTCCATGCGTCTCCGCACTGAAAAATGGGAGCGGGGCGCTTTGAAATAAAACACATTCAATGGGCTTTAGTTCCAAGTGCCCCACTGCCATTTTTTCAGCACGGGAATGTGGGGAGATGCTGATACGTGTGATGCACGGGCACTTTTAATTAGCACAGCTTGCTAATTAAGGCGCCCAGGGCATGTGCAAAAATGCTCTAAGCTTCCCAGATCTAAGCTTTTTAGTGGCAATACATGCTCACTGAACTGATGTGCATTTTTTTTCTAAACTAATTTCTCAAACTAGAAGCAACAAATCAACTTGCCACATATAAGAGTAACAAACTGGGAAGGGACTGTTATTCTATAGCCAAGACAGCTTTCTTAAAGGGGAAAGTATTAGAAAAAAAGTAAGTGTGCCCAGTCTAATTTTACACAGCTTGGAAACTGACAGAATCTTTTGGCTCTCAAAAAATAATGATAACAACCAGTGCTAGATGGGAAACTTTTCCCATACCACATATATTTGAGACATCTAAGTTTTTTTCCCACCCAAAAATCAGAACGAGTAGTCAAACATCTCAACACTTTTCATGAAGTGAAAATCCAAATTGGTTCAGATGGACTGCAATGTTTTGATCATTTAGATCTTAACTTTTTTCCCCATAATTAAAGTAAAAATAAAGAAAAAGAAAAGATCTTCCAAAGTAGAAAAGATTTTGTTTAAAAAATGTCAAAATGAAATGTTTCGATAAATTCATTTTTCCTAATGGAATAAACTGCTCTCTATCAACACTTCTCCACAAAAAAGTGTGTTAAAGTCAGCATATGTCAACAAAAAATTGGCATAAAAAATTCTAAGCAGCTCTAGTGACCACGAGTAATAGGATAACTTTCACACAACTGTAACAGGGTGTAGAGCAGAGGCTGGGATGCCACCCCTGCTAGACCCCTGTGGGAATGGCAGTGCCTGTGCCAGTGGGAAACTCACCCGATGAGGTCTGGGTGAACCACACTTCCCCAGCACACTGGAGAAGAGCTCTGGGGAAAAACTCACCCGGCAGAGTGTGGGGAGGCCACACTTCCCTGGCGCACCAGAGAAGAGCTCCAGGGAAAAACCTGGAGCAGTGTGCTGGCTCCAGGATCGGGGGAACACATGCACCCAGGAGCTGGCACTGATTGGCCCAGGAGGAAGCCTGGGCTATTTAAAGGGAGACACCAAGAGAGGCATGGCATTCAGTGTCCCCAGGAACAAAGGTGGTGCAGCAGGACTAGGGAGGAGACCCACAGTGCTGGAGACCCAGACAGGATGCCATGATCCAGCTACCATGAGTGAATGACCAACCTGACCCATCCAGCGAGATAAGTGATGCCATGTGGGGTAGTGGAGGGTGGCCGCACAAGCTGGAGGGGTTCAGGGTCACAGAGGGAGTTCCCCAGGAAAAGGGTCGCCAAGCCCATCAGGGTAGAAGGCATGAACAGACCACAGAGCCAAGGTTAGCCTCAAGGGACCCCCTCAATAACACACAAGGCAGGGATTTGCCTGTACTGACTGAGTAAATAGTCACCACATTTGAACCAGCTGCAAGGAGCTGAGCTGTACCTTTGAACCTGGGGCTCAGAGTTTTTCTTCATAGCCTTCCAGACTACGTACTAGGCAAAGGGGTGAAAGCCTGTTCGTTTCTTTTTTATTTAGTACTCCCAGGCCAGGGAGGGACAGCAGGAGAAAGTAGGATCTGCCATGCATCTGAGTTACAGCTAAGTGGATCCTAATCCATACACCTGAATCCTATAAAGCCTTTTAGTTAAGTCTTGGGGGCTGGCAGGGAGAGATTTCACTGTACAAGACCTGTCAATCCAGGGAGAACCACCAAACAGAGCCTCACAACAGAAGAGTCAGAGGCCGCAATGAAGGGAGTGAGAGAGAGGGGACAAGAAAGGTGACCGCAGACTAGACCAGAACATCTAAACCTGAGGAGAGAGACCTATCTAGAAGAGATGGACACCAACCACTTGCGGAGCACATAACCAAACCAAGTCAGGAAGGAATTGAGGTCCAGTGACTCCCATTTACCAATAACAGAGAGTTACGACTTGTCACCTGGAAGGAAGAGGGCAGAGTGTAGGGATGTTGGAGCTGTGCGGAAAATTGGCCCTTGCTAGGCAGAGCAACACTTGAGATACCATCCATCCTCCCAAAGATTATCATAACATTAAGATGTGGCAGACAAGAGGGAGAGCAGATGAGGCAGAGGTCCCAGTGATCATAACTTGACAAAGGGAGGTGAGGGACCCACATGCCTGCACAGGGGTTTTGCTGATAAGACATCCTGACCATAAATTAGCCTCTACTTTTGTTTTAACTGGTGAAATAACTGATTCAATACAAGTCAAGTTATATTTATCTCTATAGGGCAGAAGTCATGCTTGATAGAAGAATGACCCACTAGCTAGAACTACTGTGGATGGAGTGGACCATAACTGACCAAACAGCCAATGCAATTTGGAAATTATTCTATCTGTCCCTGTCTATCATCAGTCTTCAAATGAAGAGTGCTTCCCTCTCAAATGCTAGAGAGAAACTCTCCTAAGAAAAAGCTCTCTTGAGATTCTCCAACAGAACCGCCTGTTCCTAACCTTAAAACAACATTAAAAGGGTATAAGAGAGAACTTTTTCTTTCAAGTCTGGAAGAGATTCAATTTAAACAAAAATATTTCTACCTTCAGGGCAAAGTCCTGCTCTGCATAGCACAAGTACACTTAGAGGTAGGAAACAGGAAAGAGGATATAGGGGTAAGACAGAGTTCACTCTTCAAGTTTTCTTGACTTGTATGATGCTGACAATGCTCCATGGACCTTATAAACATAGTCAAGGCTTATGGCCCCTTCCATGGGTGCTGGGATTGCACAAGTGCCCTTCTGGAGAATGCTTTTGTGGAAGAGTAGCTTCTAAGCATCTGCTTGGCCACAGCCGGCCACTGCCTCCCCGAGCTTTCACACTCACTTAAACCATCACTGAGTTAGGACAGGAGTTAAAAGCTCTTTAGAAGAGGCAGAAGTTACAGCTACATTTGGCAAATGCGGAGTATTTTGTTGCAAAAATCTAGAACTCTTTGGCACTAAACAAACAGAAATACAACGTTACAAACCATGCTTAGCCCTACAACTGGGCTTCTGGAAACAATTCTGCAATTATATATTAACAAAGAAATTAAAATACCTAGATGGTAGATTAGACAGAGTATCAATATTTAATAAAAGCCAGCCTCCTTTTAAAAGGCTGTCGAAGGTACTGTTCATGACTTAAATTTCTTTTTGCTGCTGTACCTCTTAAATTAATTACAGAAGGGACTAAAAATTAAGAAACCCAGTGATCCTTGGATAATAAAATGGGCTGAATATGCAGGTTAGTAGGACAAAATGCACAGCTGAAATGTAAATGGAAAAAACAGAAACTCTACAGAAAAAGTAGATATAATAAAGATACTATTTCGCATGTAGAGATATACAACAGATGATTTTATTATGAATGAACTATTGAGAATAAGGAGAACTAGAAGATGCTCTAAATTCAGACTCTGTTACAGACTGACAAGTCAAGGGGGAACACAAGGATGAATCATTCTAAAGGAAATGGAACAGATGGTTAAAACAAATGACTTGCTACTCTTAAACAATTTCAGCTATCTAAGCATTGGCTAGGACAAAAGCGTGGTGAAGCAAAATGTCCTTGATAATGTTTGTGTTCAGCTTGATGTCTAGAAAACTCTTCTGCACAAAGCCAATCAGTCCAGAGACAGCTTAGTTAGCCTTT